TGATTAGACATGTTTTTTATTATTGTCATTAGTGATTATCTCAATTTCAGCTAAACGAGTTGACAAAATCCTACACTCTACCTTTAAGTCGAGTTGACATGGCAAGATAATTGCACCAAACTTTGGCCCTATTTTGCTCTACCAACAGATATACAGAAGCCCCAGTTTTCACAATAGCCTTGAACCAAAACCAAAAACCTTGAACCAGGCATTATTCTGTTATTGACAATTATTTGAGCTTCTTATACCCAAGAAGCGCAGTTGCCAACTAGAGCAATCTTTTTTAGAAACTATCTCAACAATTTGACTGACTCTTGCTAATTGGAGTTGGACGCCATCTCACAGCAGTGCGTAATCAGAAGGAGGAGATACAAGGCTGTTGTGGCTGTGTATGGTTCTTCCACATTCTACTGAGGCTCTTTCTTGTTAAATTAATAAATTGCCAATACGTATTGTTTCTTAAAACTTTAATCATCCAGCCTAATAAACAACACCAAACAAGAGACAATAGCAGAATAAACTGTTTGGCATTGGCAGAGAAGTTTTGGCAACTCTGCTCGACCCACAAATTAATTTATCAAACAAATGTTTTGCCATTTGAAGGGACATGAGCCGGCATTCCTATGGTATAAGCTTCACTGCCAAGAAGCATTGTTACAACAAAGAAATGATCAATCAAACACAAATTCCTTCGTTTTTGTTCTTAGTTTATTTGGCAGATGATCTGAACCTTCACTTTAAGGCAGAGTTGATTCACGCTGTATCAAAGTAATTTAATTTTTTAACACTTTATAATCCTGTTTGAAATCTGGCCTTTCCTGTCCTGGGGTCTCATTTATAAAGCGTTGCGTGGAAACCATACTAAAAGTGAACGTACGGCCAAAAGGCGGAAATGGCATACGCCAAGAAAAATTCAGATTTATAAAACCGTGCGTACGCATGTTTCTGCGCATCTTTCCTTTATAAATCACAACCGCACGTCAGAGTTTGCGCACGAGGTCCTGCCTCAGGTTCTACCCTCTACACACCCACACTCAACCATAAACAGTCAATGTAAAGTACCTCATGAATGTTAAGATGTATTTAAATCAGTCAGCTGATCAATGATTGGTTCAGACACGCTCCGTTGTGTGTCTGGAGGTTGACAGTTGCTGACTGACAGCTGCTCACGTGAACAGATTGTCTGTAATTGACACAGATTTTCCCTCATTTTTCTTCAGAGTAATCTAACGATTTTTATTTAAAAAAAACTCAGCTTCAAATTAATTTTCCCTCAGAGCCTGCAGGACGATAAAAACAATAAAAATTTAAGTAAATAAGTCAGATAAAATTAAAAGTAAGTCCGCTCTTCTCCTCGTCC